TACCAATGAACTGCTGCTACTGCTACTACTGTTTCATTATAGTTTCATAGATCAATGAATGATTCAAAGACCAAATAAGTAAATGGGAATGTAGGGAAGGTAATAGGCGACTAACCTGGAACCAAGTAAACCACCGAATCAGGTTGCTTGCGCTCACTTTTATTTAAGAGTATTCAAATGAGAGGTCATAATAAATATGAGGTTAAAAGCATCTTTACAGATCATTGGCATTAAGATCCAATTTAGTATTGTTGATCACTCATCACTTGCTCTATATCATTTACAAATACAAATGAAAGCCGCTTGTTGACCAATGAACAGCAAGGCACTATTCTACCTGTAGCAAAGTAAAAGACCATAAAGTCAATGAAACGATGAACTGTGAACTGCGGGTGGGCGACGATGGGGAGGCGGGTGGAGGAATCATGAGATCGAGGCTGAATCACAGGAGTGGTTTCCTTTTGTGCGGCGTGGACGCGGTCGTGCGGCAGGGGATTGCAGGGGAAGGCAGACCGAGGGAGCGACGGGCGTGGGATTGCAGGCGTGGGCAGACGGACGAATTAAAACAAATGTCGCACCAAAAAATGTCCACGCTTTATTATTTTTATAGCTGGTCCCCCGCACTTCGCCGTGGGATGGATTTTGTATGACTAGCACACACAAGGATCCTTCTTAAGAGTACAGAGTAGGTTGGCGTGTAACACATAGGTATGGTCATAAAAAAATAAAAAACATATACATATAGCCAAGGACATTGTGATCGAAGACATAAACTGCTACATTCTTCAAGCACGACACCTCTAAATTAGAAGACCTTCCAAATCATTGGGCCAAACCAAAGTAGGCTGCGTCTCTGTTGACATAAATGGACAGTATTAGTAATCCTAACTGGAAAACTCTATGGCATACTGTATTGTACATGATCATGGATACTGAAAGCATGTCATTAGTGGCACACACTGAACAGCTTCATGATCATTTTTGAAATTTGGGTAAGAAAATTCATTACTTGATCTCAGAGAGGAAGATGGTATGGGCACCTAAAACATACAGTGTTGACCGTGCCTGCATTCTCTTGACTAATTAGATGCTATGAGAAATATATCACTATAAATTATGGAAGTAGATAAAATTATAATCGAGGAGCATAATGACATTAACTGAGGTATGCACTACAGGCCTAAAGGTAGGTTCAATTGATGATCAAAGTCCCTACCTCCTCCTTGTCGATCTTGAAGTATCAAACAAATTTATACAACGTCTGGTCTTCCTTTTATTTATTGAACTACATCCGAAACCCCATCAGCATCTTGCGTCATTCCTTCAGTTGTTCCTGAAATTAAGCATTCAAAATTTATATATAAGAACCTAATCTAAGCATATCAACAGAAACAGGCACTATGAGGCAAAAAAAAGCCTAACAATAACTGAATTATTTTTTGCATCTTTTCATCTCAGGCTGGTCGTGAATGGCTAATTGGAAAAGAAAAACACAAGAATTCCCAAGTGCACTGAATTGCTGGTTGCAGATATGATGAATCTTCACAACACCCAAACTGGAGAATGCATGGATAGTCATGATGACATACACTAAACCTGACAGTGCAGCTATCTAAAATTGATATGAATCGTCGCAGCAACCAAACTGGAGAATCGATGAATACCCATGATGGCATACACCAAACTTGACAATGCAGCTATATAAAATGATAACGTTGTAGCTATACATTTAATTGGAAAAAAAGAAAGAGGTTTGAGCTGCAAGAACAAAGCATGATATTGAAAGTTACTGCTTACACAATCATGAAGCTATTGAACTCTCTTTGAAGATGATGCAAAGCTAGTAAGAAAAAATAGGAGCTTATACAGTGGACGGTCTGTAGATGGTTGTAAAAGTGTACGGAGATAACTTACCTTCCTGTTCCTGCGAAGTAGCAAATGCAGTAGTCATATGTTTTCACTAATGCCTATTAATCAAAGTTCTCACTGTACTTCCGACTGAAATGCAAGGGAACAGTTAGATCCGTTTCAAATACACTGAAAAATCCTCGGATTCACTAATGACTAATAATCGAAGTTGTCACTGTAGTTCTAGCAGATCGATTTTTATTCACTAAATCAAACCAAAAGCTTTACACCTACTAATTTCTGCCCCTACAAATCCTGAGAAAGCAGCATTACACCTACTAATTTCCACCACTACTATCCAGATTTGAGATTGAGAGAGAGCAGCAGTACCTCGCGTCCACAGGAAGGGTTCCAACAACGTGCGGCCGTGAAACCCAAGATGCGCTGGCGTCGTGGAGGCCGCTTCGCCCTGCTTGCTGGAGTGGATGTTGCATGCTACCGGCGTCGCGGACTCGCAGAGAAGGTGGCTAGCGACGTGGACTCGCGTAGAGGCAGCCGGCGGCGCGGACGCGCGAGAGGCGGCCGGCGGTGCGGAGACGTAGGTGGCGGCGGCGTGGCGGATGTCCGGGCCCGAGCAGCCGGCAGAGACAAAGGCATGGCGACGGGCGCGGCAACGGGTGTTCGGCGGTGTTTGAGCAAGGGCAGGGCAAGGTGCCGGTGCAGGCGCGAGGGTGCGGCGGCGTGGGCTATCGCCGGAAGGCAAGCGCGGGTGAAGATGATTGCGCATCGTGGGCGAGCGGCAGGCTGCGGTGATTCCTTTTCATCCGGGACTACGGTGATTGCACGGTGATTGCCATGAAGGAAAGTTTCATGGTCCCACCTGACGGCGCGGAAAGTTTCACGGGATGGCGTCAGGATCGCAGGGAAGGCAGACGGACGAACCAAAACCAATGTCGCACTAAAAGATGTTCACGCTTTGTTCTTTTTAGTTGTAGAAGATTCTAGTGCTTGAAGCAAAATGTGCAACAGTTGCGAGCAAGTTTCAGACTTCCAGTACACGAAATCCTTGATAGATCGTCGGTGAGACCTTTTTAATCCCAAAGGCTATGGAGGAGCCACCTATAAAATTTAAGATCAAGAAAATTTACAGGAGTAAGACAACTGGCCCATGAACTAGTCCATTTAAGCAAGAGTCATGCCTTTCCCTTTTCTTTTTCAGGACTGCACGCATTTGCAATGGCATTACTTAAATTTTTATAGTGATTTATACATAACAAAAAAGGAGCACAACCATACACTTGAACATTTTGTATAAAAATTACATAATAGTGTCTATCATACAACCAATAAACACTTGTACGTCACACATGCGTGATTACTAGCAATAATAAAACATAGGGAGGATATATATGGTTCTCCTACCTACCTTATTTATATGTATCCATACAAAAGTCCAAATAAACTTTATATTATGGACCATAAACAAGAGGTCTGTTTGGTTCATGTCTGAACTTGCCACGTCTAACTTTCGATAACTGTAGCAGCCACAGAAAGTGTGGCGAGTAAAAACGAACATATTTGTGACAAAGTTTGGAAAGAAAATGACTCTATGTCGTGTGGGGCCGGGTATATAAAAAAGTATGGCGTGTCATTGTTACAGCAGTGAACCCAACACACGTTTAAGAAACTGTGGCACACCTAACCTGCGACATGGCAAATTGTGGTCATGAACCAAATAGACCCTCAATGCCAAAGTTGTACTTTTGCTATTTGTAAATTTGTTATTTGAAAAAAAGATTGCTATCCTTAATTTGGGTAGTGGGGGCAAAAGAAAAACAGCTCCAGCATACCGCCTGATACACCCAAAGATTTGTTGGCCTCCTATTTCCTCTCTCTCACTGCCTATTCCTGTTGCCTCCTACTCTGAACTACCCAAATTTTTCCTCCCTATATCTGCTCGCCCGTGACTCCCCCAACGCCTTCCTTCGACCTTCGCCTTCCCTTCCCCCGGTGCAGCGGTCGCGGCCTATCGGGAGCGGCAGCGCTACCCTAGGCACGGCGGGCGTCCCTACTGATGTAGTTGGTTTTGGTGAGCATGGGTCATGGCTTGCTCCCGCCAGAGTCCTTGATGACGGTCTAGACGGCTACTGGCGACCCGCACTGACCATGGCATGAACAACGTCGCTCCGGCAATGGTGAGAGGTTGCGGTGCCTGTGAGGGCTCTGCAAACCTATATGATGCTCCACCTCCGCGCACAAGGCAGCAGCGGCTGCGGCGGCGGCTGCGGCTACGGGCTGGGTCGCGGCCACCGCCTGCCTGGCCGTCTCGACCGCCTGCGCAGCTGCCGCCTCCACAACAACGATGTGCGCCTCGCGCCTGTCCACGTCTGCAACTGTTGTTGCCGCGCGACGTTGGCTCTATGGGCCTGTTCGGCTGGTATTAAAGCCGGCTGATAAGCCGATTGAAGCTGTTTTGTTGTGAGAGAAAAATACTGTAGATTCTAGCTGATAAACCGGCTGATAAGTTCAAGCCAACAGGCCCATGCCGGCTGGAGGTGGTGGACTGGTTGGTGTGCACATACATGCCGCCACACAAGAAATATAGAAGAACCTAGGCTCTGATACCAATTGTTGTAAGCATGTTTTTTTCTATTGCTTAACCACTCTAACGGTTGGTTTTATTACATCATATAAGACCAAGTGGTTTGCATTACAAGATGGGATTGCAATAACTAAAGTGAAAGATTGAAAGTAGAGATAGTATTGCAACAACTAAAGTGAAAGATAAGGTAGATGATAAGATGTTAAAACCAGATAAGATGCTGATATATTACAACAATTAAAGTGAGAGACTGAAATTACAGATACGATTGTAATAACTAAAGTGGAAGAGAAGATACGATAAGATATTAAAACAAGACAATCTAGCATACTAGTGTACTCCAAAATATCTTAGACGCCTCTCGCTTTAAACATTTGTCCACCTGTGTAGTGTCTACCCGTAGTCAAGAGGAATCCCCACCCAGCCGCCAATGCTTCTCGTGCATAAATCTGTTCCCCTGCGCCGCCTCCTCCCACGCCGTCCTCTCAAATCATTTGTCCTCTCGCCGCCGTCTCGCCCCCGCCGCCTCTCGCTTCTCCCGCTCGCTGCCATGGGCTCCGTAGCCGGCGACACAGCCGCCCGCCTCGCGTACCCGCCGGCCCGCCACGACGATTCCGTCGTCGACGACTACCACGGCGTTCGGATCCCGGATCCCTATCGCTGGTAAGCAACCGCGCGCGTCCTATGTGTACTCATTTCTCTCGCTTATGGTTAATATGCCTTGCGCCGCGCAGGCTGGAGGACCCGGACTCGGAGGAGACGAAGGAGTTCGTGGCGAGGCAGGCGGAGCTGGCGGAGACGGTGCTCGCCGGGTGCCCCGACAGGGAGAACCTGCGCCGCGAGGTCACGCGACTATTCGACCACCCGCGCCACGCCGCGCCGTTCCGCCGCGGGAACAAGTACTTCCACTTCCACAACTCCGGCCTCCAGGCCCAGAGCGTGCTCTACATGCAGGTATGCTATGCGTGTGCCACGGACTTTCCTTCACTGGAAGTGGACCACTGCGCCGCACGGTATCGGACATACTTTGGTTGGATTAAGGCAAAAATAATTGGTTACACGTTCTTTGATTGGATCACTTAAGAAAAATGGTGCTACATTTCTTAGGGATACTATTTTTTGCCATCGAACTATTGCCAGCCAGAGTTTGGTTTGGACCATGAAACTCTAAAACTAGCCTGTCCATCCAACTATTGAAACCGTTCACAATTAGCCATAGTGAAAATTGGTTTCATAAAGATCACGAGATTAAAAAATATACCATCAAAAGAACTAGATGAAATACCATCGAAAGATAACATTAACGAAAAAGAGCATTCTGTCATGTGTCATCACGTTTGGAGCTAATGGTGTGAACCAGGTCCACCACCACCTGGATGAGGTCTCGCGTTGTGGCTTGTCTTCGGCCATGAATGAGGAGCATCAGCAATGCAAAAAAGAGGAGCACTAGGAGTGCCGTCCGTGGATGGCTTGGTTGGCAGCTGATGATGATGAGCCCTTATGGGTGGTATGGACATATATGTTCATGAAAGCAAGGTGGCGTTATATTTGCCTTGTTGGTTGGAAGTGGCCACAAAAATGGTTTTCTTATCATCATGTCGAGTGTTTATGTCCTTTCAGTCGAATCCTTACCACTTGACATGGTGGAAGGATAGTCAAAGACTGCTATGGCACCAAGGTTTAGGACTACAGATTTAAATGTAGTGGATTGGAGTGGTGGACAGCTGAGGTCCGAGACCTTGGCAGTCTTAAAAAAACCTTCTTTAGCTTAGCTGATTATAATGGGCTGTTAAAATTGTTGAGTCTAATGCAAAATTTTCTAATATTGGTATGCTTGTGATGAGACTAATGGGTCTATATCTGCCATATGCTATGTTGACCTTGCAGGATGATTTGGACGGAAAGGCAGAGGTTCTTTTGGATCCAAATACTCTAAGCAAGGATGGGACGGTCGCTCTTTCAACATATTCTATTAGCGAGGATGGAAACTACATTGCTTATGGGCTAAGTGAAAGTGGTAGTGATTGGGTCTCTATTCATGTGATGAGCATTACTAACAAGCGGCCTATGCCTGACAAATTGTCCTGGGTAAGTAGTTACAACTTGCCACTAGACTGCCAAAGGCTTAGTTTTCCTTTGTGCTGCAATAGTGGTTCTTGGTTCTTCTAAACCAACTCTTTTCTATTGCTGGATGCAGGTAAAGTTCTCATCTATCAGCTGGACTCATGACGGGAAAGGTTTTTTCTATGGTCGGTATCCAGCACCTAGGTAGGCCTATGGATTTTTCCTTTGTCTTCAACTAGCAACTGCCTTTTCCAGCATCCTGTTGGTATGGATTTCCCTTATTGATAGCTAATGCAATGTGACAAAGGTCAGTTTGCTTGGGAGTGGAAGGCATTATTGTAATGCAATATAAAAAAATCGATAAAAGACAACCCAAGCCAATTCAAGATGTTGCAATTGATGTATACACTTAGGTATAGTGTTCTCTGTTATTCGCGTTGTTAGCCTCACCTTGATCTGAATGCTAGCTCTGCAATCAACAAAGGAAAACACAAGAGTACTCTTGGAGGAGAGTTCTCTATTAGCACTCACTTTAACAAACCTTACCAACTCAGGCAGTCAGGCCCTGTTTGAATGCAATAATGTATGGCCTGTTGTTGCTTGGACACATGCTTGGCAAGGCTGTTTTCTGGCTGTGTCACAATTCCCATGTGAATTCTGGCTATGATATGCATCCAGTGGGCTTATCTTTGCTCTCAGATTGGTTGCAACAATTCTAATTCATTTAATATATATTGCTCTGCATGGATTGCTTGATTTTTCTAGTATGTAGTTCTTTTGGCATTGCTTAATTGTGTAAGTCTGGGTACCTTTGGAGTGAGTATGTCTGTACTTGGATCGTTTCCTCTCTCTTCAATACAAATATATGCTGCTCTCCTGCATACTCAACGAAAACAATGTTATTTTGGCATTTCCACAACTCTTCATCATGTGGATAGCCACCTGTCCTGAACTCTGGGACCATGTGACAGTAGTACATAGACAGCAGTAAGCTAGTAACTCTGTGTGGCTAAGTCTTGTGCTTCTATTAATCTCTTTTATCTAATTTATTTACCTTGAGAGTAGTCAAGCAAAGTCAAAGATTTGTTACTAGCCAATTAAGAATACACTTTTCACAAATAGTAATGTTAAAATTAGCAACTAAGCTTGTCCGTTGTAATATCTCCATGGCTTATCATCATCATCTGTAAATACTCTTTTAAGTTTTCTGGTTTGAATTGGTCTGATCTCATCTGTTTGCTCTGAAGCACATGGAGCAGCATCATAAGTTTTGTTTGAAATGTCCCCATCATGTGTTCTTTTTTCTCATTTGTTTCTGTAGAGGAGGGGAAGTGGATGCTGGAACTGAGACAAACATCAATCTTAATCATCAGATATATTACCATGTTTTGGGATCTGATCAGTCAGAGGATATATTGTGCTGGAAAGATCCTGAACACCCAAAGTATTCCTTTGGTGCCTCAGTCACTGAAGATGGAAAGGTAACTCGATCTTGCTCATGTTATTTTTACGAGGATCTTGTAATAAAAATAAAAAACAGATGGAGTTTGCATGTTGATTTGGAAGAATAGAGGGACTACAAACACATCTGTTCATCTAATGATTGAACCTTTTCAAAGTTTTTTCTATTGCATAGAAAAAAATTCTGAACATTGTGCTTTTGACAGTACATCATATTGGGCATCTATGAAGGTTGTGATCCTGTCAACAAATTATACTATTGTGAAATTTCTTCTCTTCCTCGAGGAATAGAGGGCTTCAGAGAGACAGAAGATTTGCTTCCATTTGTCAAGCTTATTGACAATTTTGATGCTCAATATCAAGTTGTGGCCAATGATGGTGATGAATTTACATTTTTGACCAATAAAAGTGCCCCTAAGAATAAGCTGGTAAGGGTAGATATCAAGAACCCAGAGCTGTGGACTGATGTTCTTCCAGAGCATGAAAAAGATGTGCTCGAGTCAGCCGACGCCGTTAACAATAACCAACTGTTGGTGTGTTATATGTCAGATGTTAAGCATATTCTGCAGATAAGAGACCTTAGAACTGGAAACTTTATTCATCAGTTGCCTCTGGAGATTGGTGCTGTTTCAGAGATCTCGTGCAGACGTGAAGACAAGGAAGTATTTATTGGCTTCACAAGCTTTCTTTCTCCAGGCATTATTTTCAGGTGTAACTTAGCACCTACAATCCCTGAAATGAAGATGTTTCGAGAAATTTCAGTTCCTGGATTTGATCGCACAAGTTTTGAAGTTAAGCAGGTAGATATCTTACCTGTGCAAATTTGTGTTCTGCATTCTATTATGGTTCAGACATAAGTAACTTGAACTTTCATCAAAAGAAGTAGTTTTGCTGTTAGGTTCATGAGCTTTTCTTTTCGCTGGTCTGAATAATATTGTTTCTGTATGTAATGTTTTTATTTGCCACTATATCTCTTATTATCCTCAGGTTTTTGTCCCTAGCAAGGATGGAACCAAAATTCCCATGTTCATAATGTCAAAGAAAGATATCGATCTTAATGGATCGCATCCAACTTTGCTATATGGTTATGGAGGATTCAACATAAGCTTAACAGCTTCATTCAGTGTTAGTCGTGTTGTGCTATGCAAGAACATGGGTTTCATTGTCTGTGTAGCAAACATTCGGGGTGGTGGAGAGTACGGGGAGGAGTGGCACAAAGCTGGAGCACTTGCAATGAAACAAAATTGTTTTGATGACTTTGCTGCCTGTGCGGAATTCCTCGTTTCTAGTGGTTACACCAGTTCCAGACGTTTATGTATTGAAGGCGGAAGCAATGGTGGTCTTCTGGTTGCTGCTTCCATTAATCAGGTAATATGGTATAAACTCTTATTTTACATACAATGTATTGTGACTGTTGGAGTATGATCTGAATTCTAATGTGTCTTGTGGGTACGCCTGGCGGGCCCATGGTTCGGGTTATTTGCTTAGCAGATTTGTTTCCGTATTTGATTGCAGTTAGTCTACCCTATATGTATATCTTGTAAGCCGCATGGATAGAGCAGGCGACTCATTGTATTCCATGCGTTTTGTAAACTCTCATATAGTGAAGATCGCCGGTTGATGCCTGTGATTTTTTACCGCAAGGGTTTTCCATAAAATCTGTCTCATGTTCGATCTCGATTTGGATTTTTTGCTAACAGACCCAGGTGCCATGGGCTGGCTGGGTCATGAGTCATGCCATGGGCTAGGGTGGCCTGCAGTGGTTGCTGTCATCCCTAGGGTCGAGTGCCAGGCTGCCGGCAGCGGCCTCCGTGTACCCGTCAAGTTGAGATTGTCATCAGTTAGGCATGAGTCATGACCACATGAGACAAGATAGGATTAGGAAGTTAGAGAATAAAGCAGAAGGAAATATTCTTTATATCTGTATTCCCCTTGGGTATAAACATAAGGCTATGTAGTCATTATCAGTCAATCAAGGAAAAGTGGTTCCTCCTCACCCTGCCCCCTGCACCCTGCTAGCACGGGTAGTGTTCATGTGAGCAGTGCCACACTGCTGCTCTTCCCCATGTCAGCCACCATATAGTTGGGCCATGATGCTCCTTCAAATCCTCTCACTGCTGCTTCCTATGACCTACTCCCTCCTGTGCTCAAGCACATAACACAATACTTCATGGACTTGTATTTTTTTTTGTGTTATTATTACAGTGCAGTATTCGTGCTACCATGCATTAACTTAACTACTCATACTATTGCAGAGGCCTGATCTCTTTGGGTGTGCTCTTGCTCATGTTGGCGTCATGGACATGCTCCGTTTTCACAAGTTTACAATTGGTATGTTCAAATAAAATCAAATAATCCCTCTAAAATTTGTTCTTAGTACACACGCACAAGCGGACGCAGACACTCATGCACGGAAGTTGGAGGAATTCATGTGTCAGTCTTAAGTATAGCTTTGGCTTCTGTGCTGGTGGTGCTCGTGGTTGAAGGAATTCATCAGTGCTTCTGTTGCACAGCCTATGAGATGGACTGTACCATCCTTCCAAGCACTAGTTTCTGCTCTGCATCATTTGTGTTTTCTCCCATTCCAACTCCAACATATCCAACAGGATCCCATGTGCTGAACTGCTGCTAAGAAGCGACATTAGAGGTTTTCTTAGTTTTGACCTGTCACATTTCTTGACTGTGTTTGCTCAATAACAAGATATATTGGAATGCAAACCCAGAGAGTCAGAGTAATAGCTAAGGGTGCCATTTGTAATTTCCCATTTATTTTCAATTCTGCTTTTGATTATATCCTCTTTACCTGTATATTTTTACAAATATTGTTTATTGTTTTGTATAGGTCATGCCTGGACTACAGACTATGGTTGTTCAGATAAGGAAGAAGAGTTCCAGTGGCTCATTAAGTATGGCTGTGTATTTGAGTTGCTGTGTTACTTTTCTACCGACACTGAACTGATTACTGCACTGTTGAGAAAATCATTAGGTCACATTATTGACTTCAAATAAAAAAAAACACAATCTTACAGCTGTCAGGGTTAGTTATGCAGGTTTGCTAGGGATACATCATGTGTTTTTTTTTGTTAATGCTTCCATATTTACTCTATATTTTCATAGGCTAAGACGAATTTGCTATGTCTCTGTATACATTAGGACATAATTAAATTGATCTGTGGCATCGTATTCCTGATGAAATTATTTCTCTTAGATTTTCTCTGTCAGGAATGCCACAGTCCAAAACAATTAAGTTGGATGACCTGCTATTGTTTTGGTGCTCCACCTGGTTATTATTTTAGTGCTTGACTAGTTGATCTGACTGTTCTTTTCTTTTTCTTTACTAAACAATAATTACATTTGCTTTTGTCCTTAGATTTAGTCTACTGAATTGATCCTGATCCCCTTTTGCAATTTGCTGCCCTGATGAACATAAACAGATATTCTCCCCTTCATAATGTACGGAGACCTTGGGAGCAAAGCTCTAGTAACCACTGCCAGTATCCAGCAACCATGTTGTTGACAGCTGATCATGACGATCGTGTTGTGCCGTTGCATTCACTGAAGTTATTAGCAGTAAGTTCATTTTTGTATTATGTCCTGAGTTCTCATGTGAAACGAAAACATGCAGTCATCAACCAAGAATCAGACTTCAGTTGCCAATTAGCATTCTATTCATAGCCGTAGATTCAACAAACAGTTATCCTATACTATATGTTAGTGGTGCAGCAAGAAACTGACCTTTTTCATTGTGGAAAATCTTTTATCGACCTATGGCCAGGGGTCAGGAGTGGTTCTATACTTGTTTGGTACTAGTATAAATTATTTGCTCATTAGGTGGTGCGTGTGGATGATGTGCACTCAGGCACCCACCTATCTCAGCAACATGATATCAATCTTAAAGAAAAGCTGATTGTCTTAACGTAGATGATAGATAGTCTATATAACAGATAGCCAGAGATAATAGTTGTTTGAAGTTAGATTCAGTGGTGAAGTAGATCTCTTTGTAAAGCCAGTCTCTAATGAAACTTTATTATCAACATAGGCAGCCCACGGCAACAAGTCTGTGAGCTGCACATGGCTTGGCCACTATGCCAACAGATGAGCTTTCCATCAGTTTGGGTTTCTGGTGTTCTTCCTATTTTGGAGCCCATTTAGTTTTTGGCCATGCCTGCTGTTGGTTTTCTTTTTGTGATTTTATCAGCAATGGCTTACTGTTCAATGAAAGTTTAACCTTACATTAATCTTCTTTTGTTGTTTACTACATCATAGCTGTTTGATATTCTTCAATCCGTTCTAACTTATTTGCCTTTTCTGCTCTTACTATGCTTCCATTGCCATTCATTCATAGACGTTGCAGCATGTCCTGTGTACCAGCACCGAGGACAGCCCGCAGACAAATCCAATAATTGGTCGCATTGACCGGAAGTCAGGGCATGGAGCTGGCAGGCCAACTCAAAAATTGGTTTGTGCAACTGCTTCTCTGAATACTCCTTTGACTTACACTCAATAGTTTATGTGATATACTGCCTTATAAATTTCAGATTGACGAAGCTGCAGACAGATATAGCTTTATGGCAAAGATGTTAGGGGCTTCGTGGACTGAATAGTTTATTTTGTCCAGCTTAATGTGGAGATGGTGAGCAAGATTACCCTATGCAGTCAAAGTAAAGTGGCAGGAAAAGTTACATTGCTTATATTTTGCTCTTAGCTTGGATGATCACTCACCAGACAGTTGTAGGGTTTATGCTTCGGGTTGAGATAAGGGTTCAGGAAACATTGTCATGCCTGGTGTTGGTGTGCCATTTCTTTTCTATATCTTCTGATTGTTTGAACCCTATATGGTACTACTACATTCCAAATTATAGTTTATAGAAAAGTTAAAACGTCTTATAATTTGGAACAGGAGTATTTGTGCCTGGAGGAAGTATTAGGACTTCCTAATGGAAGGTTGTTGCATGTTTGGAAAAGGAGATAATGGAAAATGGACGCAGGACCTTGAACCATTTGGAGCAGTCTGACATTTGAAACCCTGCTTGCAATTCAATCGGAGGTGGCTTGCTCAACTGTTCCAGTTGCTATCCAATTAAGTTTCAACGAGTTATCAAAAAAAAAAAAAGTTACAACGTTAGCCTGTATAAATGAAAACTTAGCTTCAAGATTAAGACCCTGTTTGGTAGTTCACCGTAGTTCTGAAATTTGTATACTGAAATCAAGAATTTTTTATACATTTCTACTAGAACAGATAGAAAATAGTTCAAGCAAGCAAACTAGATCTGCTCAGCTCCAGTTCCATAGCTTTATTTTTTTATTTGAGTTGGAATTCCGGCCAAAAAGTTCTAGATGGTTGAACCTTGTTTGAGGATAAAAAAGAAAACTTTGTTTTTGACTATCCAATATTTGTTTGGATTTGTTTTTGGCCACGCACTTTTAAAACCATAAATCTTTGATTGTGGAACTATAAATATCGGGCAAATTTGGGTGTCTAACTGGTCCCAAAGGTAGTTTTGTATTGTATTTAAAAATATAAATAATTTATTTTTAGAAATTCATATCTAATTTATTTTACATAAAATATGAAACCAATCCTAATGTGTCTATTGGTGCTATAGACTTATTTGGATCTTATTTTTAGTAGTTTCTAGTCTTTTATTGTTCATTGTAATGGCCATTATTTATTTAAATCGTCATTTTATGCTATACTAAACATAGCGATCAACCAAGATAATCTATAATCAAAATAGAGTGCCAAATGTGGAGTTCATAGTCACCAATTTTTTTTAGGGCTAGGGATGCCATATTAGTTACGATGGCTAAATTTAATTATAACATGGAATATGGCACCTGTGATGTTGTGTCGTCTTCCAGATCTTTGGGCCTCTTTGGATATAATTATAATGGCAAAATAGGCAATGTCGTCCTTCAACTTTTGCTCTTGGGTCAAGTTCGTCCCTGAACTCTTGCGAGGATCAATTTAGTCCTCGAACTCTTGCTCTTTGGTTCAATTTCGTCCTCCATCTGAGCTGGACATCCACATTGGCATGCCAGATTCAGCCAGATGTCTTAGGATTTTGATATGCATGTTCAAAGTCCATATTGCCCTTGCCATTGTTTATGTACAGCCGTCTCTCTCTCCTAGCTAGCTCATTTCCATTTAGCAGCTTACTGCACAGCCGGCTCTCCCCTTCCCCTCCACTGTAGTTCATCGCCAAATCGACAGCACGAAACTGACAAAATGTATAGATACACAGGCATGAAATTGACACAATGTTTCAGGTTCAAAGTAGCAGATGCTGACACAAATATTTTAGGTTCTGAGTATAAGATGCTGACACAAGAGCCATTACAAAATGTAATGCAAATGACAACAAAGTCTTCTTAGATGATACAGACTACTGTCACGATTTATTCGGCCTTCCTCTGCTAGTTGAACTAGATTTAATCTTTGCAGTTGCACGCCCGCTTGTAACATTGATGGTTGCTCTTGCAGACGAGGTGGCACCACCTGCACTTGTCTCTGACAACAAAGGCATTCCCATCAGCAGTGGCTTTAGCTTCAGACTTCGACTTCCCAAAGGGCACTACTCTTCTCTTTTGATCGGTCTGCAGAGCAATTGAAATTAGATTGATGTATTGAAATAATGCATAGAGATTGAGTGTACATTAATCATTTACTAACCTGAATAAATGATGAACCAGTTCTTTCACTATAATACAATCCGTAGCCCTCAATTGCCTTTCTTTTAGTTGACTTTGTGCTCAGAGATGCAGCTTGACCTTTTCCTTTAGATGGTGCTGTTTCAATGGCCAATGGTGCACTACTATTGTGAGAAGGATTATGCGATGTCGAGTCCTGCTGCTGCATAACAAAGGGAAAAAGTTAGAGCCATCTCGTTGTTATCATCTCTAGGAACAAAATAGAAAGCTAAAAAGGTGAAATGTATAAACACCAGCTGAACAGAGCATGTCTTAGTGTTGTGTCCAAGGCCGTTGCAACGTGTGCATCTGATTTTAGTGCCAACTCTAGAGGATTTAGTGCTCGAGTTCATTCGTTCTGAAGGATCCATCCTCCTTTTTGTTTGTGGGCGACCTGGCATCTTCTTCACTTTAGGAGGCAACGGTTTAGGATTTGGAGACACAGGCCAAGCAGACACATGCTCTACCGGTTGGAGGACATGCTGATAAGTTATCTTGTATTGGTCAATAGAGAAACATGTATTTGCATAATTGTTCGGCTCATCTGAGATTGTGAACAGGGCTGCACAAGCATGTCGACATGGGATACCCGAGACTTGCCATTATCTACAGGAGCATGTCTTTTGTCCCAGATCAACCGTGAACCTCCATTTCTTGTCCCTCACTTCAAATCCATTTGCACCATTCCATAGGACATGACAGTATTGGGTTGCATGCCTAATTTTATTTACCTTCCTGAGAATGTTGGGGCATATTGTAATTGCCCATCTATCACTATTGCTCCTGTTCTCTTGAATCCTTCTTGTCACCATGATATGTATTTCCTCTAACATGGCAAGGATAGGTTTAAATCTTGCATCTATAATCCAGCTATTGAATGATTCGCTCACATTGTTATCAACTGACTCACAATTGGATCCAATTTTGAACCAAGCCCGACACCAATGTACTGGTTCTGTTTTTTGCAAATCAGCCCATCCTTTAGGTGTCTTGGCAGCTAACTTGTTCGTGTAATGATTAAACTGTATCTCATTACATGACTTTGCAATCTTCCAAAATCTCTTTTGGTACTCCTATAGCCTATGTTTTTTTCTCCAGTTTGCATAAATGTGTCGTGCACACATTCGATGCTCAGCCATTGGAAAGAATAGGTCAATTGCCTTCAGCAAACCCTTTTGTTTGTCTATAAGGAACACCCATCCTTCAGCACCATGTGAGATTTTCAAATCTTTTTGAAGGTGCCCAAGAAACCATTTCCATGAATTTACATTCTCATATTCCACAACAGCCCAAGCTATAGGGTAAATCCCATGGCCTACTCCTCGTCCACGGCAGGATAGAAGTAGTTCTTACAATATCCGTGATAGATGGTGTTATCTGCAACAAGTGGAAAATAAACCCTGAGTACAAGAAGGTACTCAGCTAGACTTACTCGTCTTAAACCAAAAATAAAGTGACTCCAAGGATCATGCAAGGCTTTATAAGTGGAGCTAGGTTGACAACATTTTCACAAAACGGCACTAGTTGAGCTACACATTTTATATTTCGGTTCCAAGTTAATTATAGCTATTCATTTCTAGATTAGCATCTAACCTGTGCCAAACATGTGGTGTATGATTAGGTAACATAACAATAATAACCACAGTCAGTGTATCATTTCCATGTTCATCATAACCATCACATTCCATAGTTCCATTACTACGATGCTGGAGTTAGTCGAGTTTCTCACTATCCGGGAGAGACGACGATTCGAATTGGTTGCAACAAGCTAGGTAGTTATTCCTAACACAAACCCAGACATACCTGCGCCAAGGTAGTCTTAGGTCACCTTTGGTACAACTCAGGTACACATTTCATGGGTTCGATCAGCGCCGCACCCTCAGGGACACTACCGGATGCCAGGTCGATCAGGACTCTAACCTGCCCTTGGCCTCACACTAGCTCCCCGCACATCCTTACTACCTCTAGTGTGTGCACTCTAACAGAGCGAGGCCCGACCTGAGTTGAGCTACTCGGCTTCACGGTGGGAATGAGTTATTCAGCCAGCTAAGTGAGAGGCATGTGTTCAATCTCAGCAGAAGTGCCAGCAACGGTATGGTCCTTAATCGGCATAGACGGAATCACATGAGTCAACTTATACATAGACTCCACCTAGCCTTCAGTTATATTATCCCATGGTTCTTTTCCACGATAGCAAATATAGCCAACCGTGCTCCAGTATCCACCTATATCTCGCAGGTGATAGGAAATCACCCGACTTCTACCAGTCTAAGCATGGCTAAGCATATATTGGATCCTAGACCTACACATAGTTCAAGGTATATTTCTGGACAAGGAAGTTATATGCATCAAGTGTTTCCATTCAACTCTTATAACCTAATGCATCAAACATAAATGACTCAAGTGATATTTTATAAAACATTGGAGACTTAAAATGCTTCGGGGCTTGCCTTTCAGAAAAGATGTAGGCCTATGATCAGTGCACTCTGGTAGTTCTTCTGGAGCCTGCTCCTCACTTTCAGGAGCTATCTACGGTGGTGCCTCCTGATTCTCCTCCTCTTCGGCCTCGAACTCTAAGAGGGTGATTCCTTCGGACGATCCTATATGCATGAGCATGAAATAAGATACTATGGATGTATAGGTAATGACATGGATGATATAATATGATAAAATGCATAATCATAAATATCTTTAACTGCAAGGCACTAGTGTGATATCAAGATTAACTTTCTTTTACTAAGTAGGCGTGTCTCTCTTCTCTAGTACTTAATCAAACACTCACTTAAGTATTTACTGGACTATAACAATAGTCACTTGTTTTGACCATAACTATAGTTTTACATATCCAATTAACCTGATCTAGGACTTTACGGAAAGCTTATAGATTTTTCTATAACTTTGTTATTAACAAGTTTCACAGAAGAGATCATTATCACCATGAAATTGTCACCACAACAAAAACTACACATACAACCATCTAGTTGAATTATAGAGCTAACTAGCTACCTATAGCCAATTAACTTTGAGCATAATTACAAATACCAATAGACCATATGCTTTACATGTACTAGAGGAAACATCATGGTTAAGCCCAATAACTTATTTACATGCATTTATTAATTTCCTTATATAATAAGGTGATTTAAAGGGTAAATATTTCTATTGCTCAATAAATTCTAAGAAAATTACAGTAGCCTACACATGACCCCAATAGTCTACTGTATAAATTTCATTTCATTTGGATAAGAATAGTCACCTCTACAAAAATAACAATTTGCATAGGCTTATTTTTGAAAAAATAGTCTAGCCTAGTGAAAAGTGTTAAACAACAGATGTCATATTTTTCTTACTTTCATTCTAGTATAAGAATACTGTGTAAAAAATTTCATGATCATAAGTTTTGTATTTTTACCCCAATTAATTTCACCAGAAACTAGCAATAAATCAACATTAAATAGTAAAATCATATTCCAAGTATGCCTACTATAGGTTTAGTATTTTTTGTAGCTAGAGCATGTCAATACAAGACCAACAAAATTGGAATCACATTTTTAGCACTTCTCTAGCTCAAGTTATGCATTTTATAAGATAGAAACTAATTTAAAAGCACTTATCTAGCTTAATTTAATTTCCATAGAACAATACTCGAAATAGTAGATTTCATATTTTTATCAAATAGTACACTTCATGATGAATCTAACAAAATTTGGTTCACTCAATTTGGACATTCCTAGCTCTAGATATGAATTTTTGAAGTTTGAATCAATTTCTGAAAAAGAATAAAGAAAAACATTTAGAACTAAAAATTGCTACGTGCACCCGGCTCACTACACCCACTGCGACTGACTGCTGGGCCCCATAGTCAATGGGCCCCACATGTCATCGGCATAGAAGCAGGGCGTGACTTTGACCGTGGAGAGCTCACCGAGGGCGAGGTCACCGGCGACGAGGTCACCACCGTCGTGTTTCCCACCCTCTCGCGCACCTAATGGTACTGTCGGTGCAGAAAGTGACCAACACGTAAATATTTGTAATTTTGCCATACGTTGTGATCGGATGTGACCTATCACTCAATGACATAGGGTTTATACTGGTTTAGGCAACGTGCCCTACGTCCAGTCTGAGTCGGTCGATGACTTTATTCCTGAGCCTAGGTGCTCGAAGTTTACTGTGGGGTTACAAACGAGAGAGAGAAAGATGGGGGGTGCAAGAGGTCCGGTCGGACCCCGAACCGAAGGGCCGAGAGTCACGGGACCTTCTGCGTGCGCTAAGTATTCGAGCGTGCGCTCTGTGTAGCTTTAGAGTGTCTAAAACTAGCAGAGGGTGAATCGGTCGTTGGATGTTCGGATTGTCGGAGAGTTCCTGGAGTTGTGTTTTTATCGTGAATGGGATCATCCTCATTGGGAGAGAGCGCATCCCCTTTTATAGATGAAGGGGACGGCCTTACAAGTAAGAGAGGGAGAGTGTTACATATGCTAAGTCTTATTGCCCACGCCGTCGGGTACAAGATGATTGTAGGCGCCCACAACACTGTTTATGCCAGACGCATGTGGGAGGTTTTACCGCATTCATCATGTATGGCAAATGACGGTGCCCACAACACTGTTGATGCCTAGAGGCATGTGGGGGGTTTTGTCGTGTTTGCCTAGTATGGGAATTGATGACGCCCATAACACTGTAGGGCAAAACGTCGACACCCACAACACTGCTTGGGTTCTGACATGCCTAGAAGGTTGCAGGGCACCCTTCTGACATGTCCTATCAGTACTATCCTATAGGTGTACAGGGTACGGTCCTTGGTTTTGTGGTTGACTTGAGTGCCCTGCCTTACTTGCTCCGTCTGTTTCCTAGGTCCTCACCGAGCGGGCGTCCCCGGTTGGTTGGTCCTAGTCGGCTCCGACTGCACCAGTCGGAGAAGAGATGTAAGCAGAGGTTCGATGTATCCCCGGTCAGAGACACGGGTTAGTCGGAAGCAGTGTTGGCCAGGCCTTCCAGTCGGAGAAGCGGGTCGAAGTCAGAAGCGAGCGCTGTTCCTCCTTGGCCAGGCCTTCCGGTCGGAGAGGTAGGCCGAAGTCGAAAGCGAGCAATGTTCCTCCTTGTCTAGGCCTTCTAGTCAGAGAGGTGGGCCAAAGTCAGAAGCGGGCGCCGTTCCACCTTGGCCAAGCCTTCCGGTCGGAGATTGGATCGCCCTTCTAGACTATCATTAGGTATTTGGGCCGACCCAGGAGTTGCGCGTCGTTCGCAACGTCGTCTGCTGGGCCGACCTTTTGCTGGGAAGCCGGTCCATGAGGGACCCTGGGTTTTTGAACCCGACAGGAGCCCCCGAGCCCCCGGGCGATTTATGTAAAATCATCTAGGGGATCTTTGTCTTGATAGCGGGTGCGCGCGAGCGCACTCACGGGTGTAGCCCCTGAGCCCCCGTGCGATTCGGGTAGAATTGTCTGGGGGTTTTTCGTGTTACCAGCGGTGGAATTTTTTTGTTTCATCAGTGGGTGCGCTTGAGCGCACCCACGGGTGTAGCCCCTGAGCCCCTAGCGATTTGGGCAGAATTGCTTAGGGGGTTTTGTCAGCGGGCGTGAGTGTGTGCACCTTGGTGGGCGTTTGGTTGCGGCCAGTTTCTGACCCATCATTTCCAGGAGTGTGGTCCCAGGCGTTTGGTTGCGGCTGAGGGATTGGGCGAGGCAGAGTCATCAACCAGGGCGTCGGGCGCGCCAAGGGGCAGCCAAGGGATCGGGCGAGACGGACTCATGGACCAAGGCATTGGGTGCAGCTGAGGGACAACTAAGGGATCGGGTGAGACGGACTCGTGGAC